CGGGGGAACATACCCTCTTCTTCAGAGCAACACCACTTTTTTTCTCTAAAGAAGGGAGCATGTCTCCTGAAAGGAACATCATAATACCAGCCGATGTGTTTCGGGAGACATACCCTCTTCTTCAGAGCAACACTTTTTCACTAAAGAAGGGAGTATGTCCCCGGAAATGAACATCATAACACAAGCCGACGTGTTTTGGGGGAACATACCCTCTTCTTCAGAGCAACACTCTGTTTCACTAAAGAAGGGAGTATGTCCCCGGAAATGAACACGATAACACAGGCCAACGTGTTTGGGGGAACATACCCCCCTTCTTCAGAGCAACACTGTTTTCCTCTAAAGAAGGGAGTATGTCCTCTGAAAGGGACATCATAATACCAGCTGACGTGTTTCGGTAGACATACCCTCTCTTCTTCGAGCAAATCTTTTTCTCTAAAGAAGGGAGTATGTCCCCAGAAATGAACATCATAATACAAGCTGCCGTTTTTCGGGGGAACATACCCTCTTCTTCAGAGCGACGCTCTGTTTCTCTAAGGAAGGGAGTATGTCCCCAGAAATAAACATCATAATACCAGTCGGCATGTTTTGGGGGACATCCCACCTTCTTCAGAGCAAAACTCTAGAGAAGGCCGGGCCTTGCTGACAGGCTCCCGCTGTGTACAATCACAGCGGGTGCTGGACAGGAGGCGCGCATGTGTGTGTTTGAGATCCAGAAGTAGGCAGCAGAGCTTTCCCTACAGCGGCCGCCCGTCTGCAGTACCGTTGCGGGCAGGTGGTTCCTAAGTGGATATAGATGATGATTTTTTTTATATTGGTCTGTAAGTGCCTGCTAACACCAGAATACAGAGCAAGAAACCTGCATTTCATGTGAATTTCCTGCACCGTGTTCAGAGTGCACTGCGATTGTGATCTTCAGCGGGTGTAAATGTTAGGTTAACAACACCCCAAACACAGGTTGCAGATGCAGTGCATTTGCCTGCGCCGGATTGCATGGTACAGAAGTGCATTTTTTAAAGTAGTACATGCACTATACGTGGTGCAGTCCAGTGCGATTCAGCCCATTCAAAATAATTGGACCCGAATCGCACTGCATTGCATGTGAACTCGCATTCTGGGCAAGTCATGTAGGGCAAGTGAACTGGCCCTAAAGCAGTACTTCACACCTAGGCGAGAGTGATGTTTGTTTGCTGTGCCCCTGAATGTGTGCTGATGTGCCATAAGGCTTTGGGTCCCGATTGAGACCCTCTGACATATCTGCGCATGTGCTGGTTCCCTTAAATATCTTCACACTCGCTGAATGCAAAATACTGTCGTTTTTTTATGCTAGAGGAGATTTGCACCTTAAAACATTTGTGTTTGTGTTTCCCTAGTGCTCTGTTATAGCCGTGAATTCTAGTAGTAATATGACCAGTCTCTGACTGTCTCCTGCAACATATGTGCAGCCTCTGACTATCATCTGTATCATGTCTGACTATCATCTCTGTATCATGTCTGCAGTCTCTGACCATCTCCTGATGTCTGCAGTCTCTGACCATCTCCTGTATCATGTCTGCAGTCTCTGACTATCTCCTTTATCATGTTGCAGTCTCTGATTATCATCTGTATCATGTCTGCAGTCTCTGACCATCTCCTGTATCATGTCTGCAGTCTCTGACCATCTCCTGTATCATGTCTGCAGTCTCTGACCATCTCCTGTATCATGTCTGCAGTCTCTGACCATCTCCTGTATCATGTCTGCAGTCTCAGACCATTTTGTATCATGTCTCAATCTCTGACCATTTCTTCTATCATGTCTGTCTGACCATCTCCTGTCATGTCTACAGTCTCTGCCCATCTCCTGTATCATGTCTGCAGTCTCTGGCCATCTCCTGTATCATGTCTGCAGTCTATGACCATCTCTTATATCATGTCTGAAATCTCTGACCATATCTTGTATCATGTCTGCAGTCTCTGACTATCATCTGTATCATGTCTGCAATCTCTGACCGTCTCTTGTATCCTGTCTGCAGTCCCTGCCCAACTCCTGTATCATGTCTGCAGCCTTTGACCATCTCCTGTATCATGCCTGCAGCCTCTGACCATCTCTTGTATCATGTCTGCAGCCTTTGACCATCTCCTGTATCATGCCTGCAGCCTTTGACCATCTCTTGTATCATGTCTGCAGTCTCTGACCATCTCTTGTATCATACCTGCAGTCTCTGACCATCTCCTATACTGTGCCTGCAGCCTCTGACCATCTCTTGTATCATGTCTTCAGTCTCTGACCATCTCTTGTATCATGTCTTCAGTCTCTGACCATCTCTTTTATCATGTCTGCAGTCTCTGCCCATCTCTTGTATCATGTCTGCAGTCTCTGACCATCTCTTGTATCATGTCTGCAGTCTCTGCCCATCTCTTGTATCATGTCTGCAGTCTCTGACCATCTCTTGTATCATGTCTGCAGTCTCTGACCATCTCTTGTATCATGTCTGCAGTCTCTGACCATCTCTTGTATCATGTCTGCAGTCTCTGACCATCTCTTGTGGCATGTCTGCAGTCTCTGACCATCTCTTACAGTGGGGATCAAAAGTTTGGGCACCCCAGCTAAAAATTTGTATTAATGTGCATAAAGAAGCCAAGGAAAGATGGAAAAATCTCAAAAGGCATCAAATTACAGATTAGACATTCTTATAATATGTCAACAAAAGTTAGATTTTATTTCCATCATTTACACTTTCAAAATAACAGAAAACAAAAAAATGGCGTCTGCAAAAGTTTGGGCACCCTGCAGAATTTATAGCATGCACTGCCCCCTTTGCAAGCGGAGACCTGCCAGTGTCATGGATTGTTCTCAATCATCGTCTGGGAAGACCAGGTGATGTCAATCTCAAAGGTTTTAAATGCCCAGACTCATCTGACCTTGCCCCAACAATCAGCACCATGGCTTCTTCTAAGCAGTTGTCAAGAAAACTGAAACTGAAAATAGTTGACACTCACAAAGCTGGAGAAGACTATAAGAAGATAGCAAAGCGTTTTCAGATGTCAATATCCTCTGTTCGGAATGTAATTAAGAAATGGCAGTCATCAGGAACAGTGGAAGTTAAAGCAAGATCTGGAAGACCAAGAAAAATATCAGACAGAACAGCTCGCAGGATTGTGAGAAAAACAATTCAAAACCCACGTTTGACTGCACGATCCCTCCAGAAAGATCTGGCAGACACTGGAGTTGTGGTACACTATTCCACTATAAAGAGATACTTGTACAAATATGGTCTTCATGGAAGAGTCATCAGAAGAAAACCTCTTCTACGTCCTCACCACAAAAATCATCGTTTGAACTTTGCAAATGAACATATAGACAAGCCTGATGCATTTTGGAAACAAGTTCTGTGGAACGATGAGGTTAAAATTGAACTTTTAGGCCGGAATGAGCAAAGGTACGTTTGGAGAAGAAGGGGCACAGAATTTAATGAAAAGAACCTCTGTCCAACTGTTAAGCATGGGGTTGGATCAATCATGCTTTGGGGTTGTGTTGCAGCCAGTGGCACAGGGAACATCTCACGAGTAGAAGGAAAAATGGATTCAATAAAATTTCAGCAAATTTTGGATGGTAACTTGATGCCATCTGTGAAAAAGCTGAAGTTAAAGAGAGGATGGCTTCTACAAATGGATAATGATCCTAAACACACCTCGAAATCCACGGGGGATTACATCAAGAGGCGTAAACTGAAGGTTTTGCCATGGCCTTCACAATCTCCTGACCTCAACATAATTGAAAATCTATGGATAGACCTTATAAGAGCCGTGCGTGACAGACAGCCCAGAAATCTCAAAGAACTGGAAGACTTTTGTAAGGAAGAATGGGCAAAGATACCTCAAACAAGAATTGAAAGACTCTTGGCTGGCTACAAAAAGCGTTTACAAGCTGTGATACTTGCCAAAGGGGGCCGTACAAGATATTAACTCTGCAGGGGGCCCAAACGTTTCAGCCATTTTTTTGTTTTCTGTTATTTTGAAAGTGTAAATGATGGAAATAAAATCTAACTTTTGTTGACATATTATAAGAATGTCTAATCTGTAATTTGATGCCTTTTGGAGATTTTTCCATCTTTCCTTGGCTTCTTTATGCACATTACTACAAATTTTTAGCTGGGGTCACTTTCGATCCCCACTGTATATAATGCCTGCAGTCTCTGATAATGAATAGGCACTTTTATATGTGCGGCCCTTCAGTGATTTTTGGGGCCGCTTGAGGTTTCCCCATATCAGGAAAGGACCACCAGTGCTTTAGGCCCTCCTCCGGTGCCAGACGTTGTGGGAACTCTGTCCCACATCCCTGCACTCCATCCCTGGGAGTATACGGTTGTCTTGCACAGAAGACGGCAATGAACGTGTCTATAGCAGTGTATGGGGGAGGATGTGGGATACAAACACTAGTGAGGTTCCTTATCATTTCTTGGCCACAGAAAGTCATCTTTGGAGCCCAATGACTCAATCATTCCCTTCTGCTCCAGTCTCCAGCTCCGTGTCCTCCATCTGATCTGTGCAGTGTAGTCTCTGACACATCCCGAGTCCTGCAGAGTCCTTCATATAGACAATCCGTGCAGCGTCCATGAATCTGTTCCTTCTGGGGAGGGGGAGGGGGGGGGGTTTATGATGTTCTATTGGAGCAGATACAAGGCAGAGGGTGACATGTCGCTCCAATTGGGTTTTTATTTTTGCTGCTACATATACATACAAAGACTACAAATCACCAGACGAGGAGACATCGAGGGTTGGTTCACCTTTCCTACAAAGCCAAAAGCCCCTAAGCCAGTGGTGGTGAACCTTCCTAATATGGGGGCCTAAAGTGGGCCCCCGACATTGCCAAAGAGCCGCACATAAAATTCAGTGACTATTCATTATCAGAGACAGCATACGCACAGCATATAGTCGGAGACTATGGGCATGATACAAGAGATGGTCAGAGACTGCAGGCATGATACAGGAATGGTCAGACTGCAGGCTGATACAGGGACAGGAGAGACTGCAGGCATGATACAGGAGATGGTCAGAGACTGCGGACAGGATGCAGGAGATGGTCAGAGACTGCAGACATGATACAGGGGATGGTCAGAGACTGCAGACATGATACAGGAGATGGTCAGAGACTGCGGACATGATACAGGAGATGGTCAGAGACTGCAGACATGATACAGGAGACGGTAAGAGACTGCAGACAGGATGCAGGAGATGGTCAGAGACTGCAGACAGGATGCAGGAGATGGTCAGAGACTGCAGACATGATACAGGAGACGGTCAGAGCCTGCGGACAGGATGCAGGAGATGATCAGAGACTGCAGACAGGATACAGGAGATGGTCAGAGACTGCGGACAGGATACGGGGATGGTCAGAGACTGCAGACATTATACAGGGGATGGTCAGAGGCTGCAGACAGGATACAAAAGAAGGTCAGAGACTGCTGACAGGATGCAGGAGATGGTCAGAAACTGCGGACAGGATACAGGGGATGGTCAGAGACTGCAGACAATATACAGGGGATGGTCAGAGACTGCAAACATTATACAGGGGATGGTCAGAGACTGCAGACATTATACAGGAGATGGTCAGAGACTGCAGACAGGATACAAAAGAAGGTCAGAGACTGCGGACATGATACAGGAGATGGGCAGAGACTGCCAACAGGATACAGGAGATGGGCAGAGACTGCAGACAGGAAGCAGAAAATGGGCAGAGACTTCAAACATGATACAAGAGATAGTCAGAGACTGCAAACATGATACAGGGGATGGCAGAGACTGCAGACATGATACAAGAGATGGTCACAGAGCAGACATGATACAGAGATGGTTAGAGATGCAGACATGATACAAGAGATGGTCAAAGACTGCAGGCATGATACAAAAGATAGTCAGAGATTTAAACATGATACAAGAGATAGTCAGAGACTGCAAACATGATACAGGGATGGTCAGAGACTGCATGATACAAGAGATGGTCACAGACTGCAGACATGATACAGGGGATGGTCAGAGACTGCAGACATGATACAAGAGATGGTCAGAGACTGCAGACATGATACAAGAGATGGTCAGAGACTGCAGACATGGATACAAGAGATGGTCAGAGACTGCAGGCGTGATACAAGAGATGGTCAGAGACTGCAGACATGATACAAGAGATGGTCAGAGACTGCGGACATGGTACAAGAATTGGTCAGAGACTGCGGACGTGATACAAAAGATGGTCAGAGACTGAAGACATGATACAAGAGATGGTACTAAATCAGCTGTTTAGTAAATTTGCACAACACCATAAACCCATATGGATAGAATGTCTTTATTATATTAGATCATCTGAATGTGGGGGGGGGGGACGTTGTAGACCCTTCGTACATTACTTACTGTATGCCAATCAGCCACAGCTTACCTCTAACAAACACTGGATGGACCTGAGGGTTCCATGGATCCCTGGTTGAGGTTGGCTGGCCTTCAGCTTTGTTAGATAAATGATATATCCTCCAAGTACATCACTCCAACCTTACTCTGATCTTTTTTTTTTTTTTTACTGTAGGCGGAGCTAAATATGCCCAAAATTCCCAGCATGCGCTAATTCTTTTACATGACATTGATTTTTGAAGTCATATTACTTCCCTTATATCTGCATACAGCCAAATTGACCAGTGGTCTCCAAACTGTGACCCGGGGCCTGATGTGGCACATTGCTAGCCTCTATGTGGCCCTTGGGGCACTATTGCTTCCACTGACACCAATGATGGGGCGCTATTCCTCCACTGACACCAATGATGGGGCGCTATTCCTCCCACTGATACCAATGATGGGGCGCTATTGCTTCCACTGACACCAATGATGGGGCGCTATTCCTCCACTGACACCAATGATGGGGGCGCTATTCCTCCCACTGACACCAATGATGGGGCTATTCCTCCCACTGACACCAATGATGGGGCACTATTCCTCCCACTGACACCAATGATGGGGCGCTATTCCTCCCACTGATACCAATGATGGGGACTATTCCTCCCATGATACCAATGATGGGGCTATTCCTCCCACTGATACCAATGACACACAATGATGGGGCGCTATTCCTCCCACTGACACCAATGACATTCCTTCCACCAATGATGGGGCGCTATTCCTCCCACTGACACCAATGATGGGGCACTATTCCCCCCACTGACACCAATGATGGGGCACTATTCCTCCCACTGACGCCAATGATGGGGCACTATTCCCCCCACTGACACCAATGATGGGGCACTATTCCTCCCACTGACACCAATGATGGGGCACTATTCCTCCCACTGACACCAATGATGGGGCGCTATTCCTTCCACTGACACCAATGATGGGGCACTATTCATCCCACTGACACCAATGATGGGGCACTAAAATACAGTGAAAAAACTCCTACTATGTGCTAAAAATAAAATCTACGTGTTTATCGGTGGCTGCTGCTGCTAACATCAATTGTGTTCCCAGAATGCAATATAAATATTAGCAGTGTGTAATGTAGCGCTGCTGGCAGGAAATTGTGAATGATGAAAGCATAAAACATCGATCCATCAAATACTCAACAACCAGAGCGAATAAACTCATAACAAAGTGCTTGATAATAAGTAAATATAGAAATAAATATATAAAGTGAATTCAATTCCAGAAATTGCGAGATCCGACGCCACAAAACACAGATCCGAGCTCTCAGAACTCTCAGGTGGCACTATAATCTATGAGCTTCACGTGAAGCTCGGATCTGTGTTTTGTGGCGTCGGATCTCGCAATTTCTGGAATTGAATTCACTTTATATATTTATTTCTATATTTACTTATTATCAAGCACTTTGTTATGAGTTTATTCGCTCTGGTTGTTGAGTATTTGATGGATCGATGTTTTATGCTTTCATCATTCACAATTTCCTGCCAGCAGCGCTACATTACACACTGCTAATAATGATGGGGCACTATTCCTCCACTGACACCAAATGATGGGGGGCTATTCCTCCACTGACACCAATGATGGGGGGCTATTCCTCCCACTGACACCAATGATGGGGCACTATTCCTCCACTGACACCAATGATGGGGGGCTATTCCTCCCACTGACACCAATGATGGGGCACTATTCCTCCCACTGACGCCAATGATGGGGCGCTATTCCTCCCACTGACACCAATGATGGGGCGCTATTCCTCCCACTGACACCAATGATGGGGCGCTATTCCTCCCACTGACACCAATGATGGGGCGCTATTCCTCCCACTGACACCAATGATGGGGCGCTATTCCTCCCACTGACACCAATGATGGGGCGCTATTCCTCCCACTGACACCAATGATGGGGCACTATTCCTCCCACTGACACCAATGATGGGGCACTATTCCTCCCACTGACACCAATGATGGGGCACTATTCCTCCACTGACACCAATGATGGGGCACTATTCCTCCCACTGACACCAAATGATGGGGCACTATTCCCCCACTGACACCAATGATGGGGCACTATTCCCCCCACTGACACCAGTGATGGGGCACTATTCCCCCACTGACACCAATGATGGGGCACTATTCCTCCACTGACACCAATGATGGGCCACTATTCCTCCCACCGACACCAATGATGGGGCATTATTCCTCCCACCGACACCAATGATGGGGCACTATCCCCCCCACTGACACCAACGATGGGGCACTATATTCCCACTGATACCAATGATGGGGCACTATTCCTCCCACTGACACCAATGATGGGGCACTATTCCTCCCACTGATACCAATGATGGGGCACTATTCCCCACTGATACCAATGATGGGGTACTATTCTCCCACTGACACCAATGATGGGGCACTATTCCTCCCACTGACACCAATGATGGGACACTATTCCTCCCACTAATACCAATGATGGGGACACTATTCCTCCCACTGACACCAACGATGGGGCACTATTCCTCCCACTGACACCAATGATGGGACACTATTCCTCCTACTGACACCAACGATGGATCACTATTCCTCCCACTGACACCAATGATGGGGCATTATTCCTCCTACTGACACCAACGATGGGGCACTATTCCTCCCACTGACACCAACGATGGGGCACTATTCCCCCCACTGACACCAATGATGGGACACTATTCCCCCCATGATACCAATGATGGGGCACTATTCCTTCCACTGACACCAATGATGGGGCACTATTCCTCCCACTGATACCAATGATGGGGCACTATTCCTCCACTGACACCAACGATGGGGCACTATTCCCCCACTGATACCAATGATGGGAGCACTATTCCCCCCACTGACACCAATGATGGGGCACTATTCCCCCCACTGACACCAATGATGGGACACTATTCCCCCCACTGATATCAATGGGGCATTTTCTGCTCCCACTGGCCACAGGCTGGCCCTTAGTTTGGAAGTTTTCTCCTGCAAGCGGCAGTGGAGAGTCGGGCTCATCATGATGTGAAGGTGGCCTGGCATTGATCCCAGTTGTCAGCATGATAGGTCCGCCCCGTGTTTGGTGGAACGTTCGATACGTGAACATCGCCGACTTCATTCTCATGTAAAATCTTCTTGTGCAGAACTTCGCAGCCACCAAACCGCGTCCCTCACGGTGGTAATTCATCACATGACATCTCCAACCACAGGTCTCTCTGCACCGCAGCGTGTTATGAAAGGCGGATGATCCATTGTTTCATCTGTTATGATGTCTCATTAAGTTAAAATAATAAATCCCCATTGCAGAAGCCGTGTCTATAAACTAGGGAAAGGAGAATGTCTGGATTGTCCATGTGGCCAATCGGATTCCAGCGTCTCGGGTGACGAGTGGGATAACTGTTATGGACAGCAGGGATTTATTTTGGGGAAGTTTTCCTCAATTTGCGGCGTAGTGACTCATGGTTACTATGTGTCCGTCCAGCGCCGGGGTCCTGAGCTCAATGGCTCCATTGGTGCGCAGTATCTGTGTGTGTTTTTGTGGTCGTGCCGGTTTCCTCCCACAGGCTAAAAGCATACTGTTGGGTTCTGCTGGTCTGTGTGAAATGATCCCGCGGTGTGAATGTAGAGAAGACTCGGAACGTTACAGCTGAACTCCAGGCCACAGCTAAATACACAGAACATACAAGCAGAGGATTTGTATTTCTGTCCATCCAGGATCATAGATTTACACAGCTCTGCCACGTTCTACAGCTGTGTCTGGAAGGACTGGAGACCTGGTTTTTCTTTGCTGCAGTTCACTAAGAAATACAGGTCTTGTCCTTCCCCCAGCCTGTGATTGGACAGTGAAAGGAGAAGCAGCACACTGATGAATTTATTGCGGTGTCACTCTGCTCTCTCCTCCTGTCAGCATGATCTTTGCATGGCAGTACTATAGATTGGTTCCTTGTGCTGCTTCTCCTTATGCCAGTCTGAGCTCTGCTGTACATGGGGGGGAAGGGGGCAGGGGTTCTCCTTCTCCAGTCTCAGCTCTGCTGTACAGGGGGGGGGGTTGTCCTTTTCCGGTCTGAGCTCTGCTGTACATGGGGGGGGGGGGGGGGTCCTTCTCCCAGTCTGAGCCCTGCTGTGCATAGGGGGGGGTTCTCCTCCCAGTCTTAGCTCTGCTGTACATGGGGGGTTCTCCTCCCAGTCTGAGCTCTGCTGTACATGGGGGGGGTTTCTCCTTTTCCCAGTCTGAACTCTGCTGTACATAGGAGGAAGAGGGGGGTTCTCCTCCTCCCAGTCTGAGCTCTGCTGTACATGGGGGGGGGGGGTTTCTCCTTCTCCCAGTCTGAGCTCTGCTGTACATGGGGGGAGGGGCGGGGGGTTCTCCTCCCAGTCTGAGCTCTGCTGTACATGGGGGGGGGTTTTCTCCTTCTCCCAGTCTGAGCTCTGCTGTACATGGGGGGGGGGGGGGGGGGTTCTCCTTCTCCCAGTCTGTGCTCTGCTGTACATGGGGGGGGGGGGGGGGGTTCTCCTTCTCCCAGTCTGACAGTCTGAGCTCCGCTGTACATGGGGGGGAGAGGGGGGGTTCTCCTTCTCCCAGTCTGACAGTCTGAGCTCTGCTGTAGATGGGGGGGGGGGTGTACACAGGCTGCCACCTGGTCACATTGAGGTACTTACACTGCTTGGATGAGAAGATGT